CTGGTGATCAGTTCTTGTCGTACCCGTCCAAACACTCATCCTAAGCCCCGACGAGTTACTGGTGATCAGTTCTCGTCGTACCCGTCCATTCGCTCATCCTAAGCCCCGACGAGTTACTGGTGATCAGTTCTTGTCGTACCCGTCCAAACGCTCATCCTAAAGCCCCGTCGAGTTACTGGTGATCAGTTCTCGCCGTACCCTGTCCGAAAGAGAGCCCCAATCTAGACCCCCGGTACAGTATCTATTATCCATCAGTCTTCCCATTAATAGTCGTTGGTTTCCGTTGAATAAGGAAAGTATGGGTTCAGTAAGATCAAGATAAGAATGATAACGAGCAGTTAACACTTGTGAGTGCTCGCCTTGACCGAGCCGTATTTTGTGAGTTAAAACGTTAGTTGTTTAGGGTGAGAGAAGAGGATATGATTTTACAAAGGGATTTACGAGGAACGGGTTAAGAGGCGCCAGACGTTGATTTGAGCAGGGCAAAAGTAGGATGTTAGCCTTGTCGGGAAATGATTATTCCGTAAAACCGTTGCTTTACGCTATTAGAATTATACAGTGGGACGCAAGGAAAGGGATACGAGTGCGAAGTAGGAATAGGGCAGGTAGTCCGAGGCGAGGTGTTATTGATGCGATGGGTAGGAATTCCTCGGGAAATGTAAGGGAGTCGAGAGTAGGTTGAGGCGGGAAGTTTCCATTTATTTTTAATTATCGTACGGGCAATTTTTTTTTTCGAGGCTAGACGGCTTGTGTGCCCGGCTTCTATGTCGATATTTCTACCAACATGGCTTTTGTACAGTTGAGTGCGTACAGCGAGAGGTCTGTATTGTCAGGGCGGTGTCAACAATGTCTGCACGTCTTATTTCGGCCGAGAGTAGGGGCCGTAGCGTAGTGTCGTGAGGTAGTGACGTCGGTAGGTTTGTCAGTAGGTGGAAAGGTGGATTGAGTTGGAGTTGCAGGGTAAGCAAACGAAGTATTGAGAGGTATGTAGGTCGTTCGGATAATTTTGGTGGTCAAGGTAGTTGAGAGCCCCTGAAAAGTTAGTGAGGCCTGATAAGTCCTAGTCGGTGGGATAGGCATCGATAAGTCCTCGGAGTCGACGGGCTCCCCCGTAAAAGTTAGGCCGAGATGTAGTGACGTCGAGTGACGTGGTATTGGTGCAGCGTGTGCTGCGGTGTTAATGGTAACTCGGCAGGCCGACGGGCCCTAAATTGAGGAAGGCCCGGGATGGGACAGCATGGTAGCCTCCGGTGAGTTTTTATTTAGCTTCTTTGTTAGACGGCGGATAGCAGACAGAAGACGACACTTAAGACCCTGTTAGTGAGAATGTATGCGTTTTTTATGGACATTTATCCTACCTGGGGGTCAATCTCTCGTTTGGTCACCGGCACCACTGGAGGGAGATTTTGGGGGCGTCGCAAAAGAACGACAAGGGATACGCGAGAATCTGCTAGAGAAACTGGAGCACGAATGAATGAGACATGATTCTTAGGTTAAGGACCAGTGGGAGTTGCGACGAACTCAGTCGGTGTGACCCTTCGAAATGAAACCCGAGGGAATCCAATTAAAGATTAACATTGTCATTCAACCTAGCGAAGCCGATTCAATGTATCAGAATGACCAGCCTCAAATAACATAAAGCATCGACTATCACCCGATGCAATATTGTCTGCAAGGGAGGACTTTCACCACTTTCTATCTTTCCTCTATTATATCTTCTCATTTTCTTCTTTGACCGTCTATCGAGGGAGTATTGACGAAAGGTGGCGGTTTTCTTCATTTCCAACTATAATTTCACACTTCAACTTCACTTTTCCACTTTTCCCACTTTTCTATCAGTCTCCCGCGCTACAGAGCCGTTTCGCCCCCCCCCCCCGTACCGCCCCCTTAAGGTGGGATGGTCCCCCAAAGGTGACCGTCCCACCTTAAAGGGACCCTCCCACCTTCAAAAAAGTTAATGAATTGGCACAGGCACGTATCCAGGATTTCGCTCAGTGAGGGACGACAGCCGAGAAGGGCCCGGAAGTCACCTCAAAGGGGTCCCACGGCGACTGCTTATCCTGGTGTGAAAAAAAAACGAGAATGTCGAAAGAACGGTAATTTTACGATAAAATTCGGCATATTGTAAATGAAAATGCATTGTGTTGCCTTAGTCGACCTTGATAAAATGTTTTCAGTTAATTTCAGTTGAAGATCGTGTTTGCAATTCACTTCCTTTGAAATTCGTTAACCCGCGCCGTGCTGGGGGAGCCTTTTCACGCTCCCCTCTCCCCTCAGGTTTTTAGTGAATATAACGCCGCCATTTTTCTACACCTGTTTATCTTTTGTCCGCACATGCTATGAAAATTTCAGACCTAGGTCGTTTAAGGTCAGGTCGTCATGTGACCTCACCTCAGAAAAAGTTCAAAAGCTTGCTAAAGCTTCGCCGCCTGAACGATCGCTTTGAAACTTTAATGGATTGATAAGAATAACAGTAGGTAAAAATTGTTAATCTCGATTCTTTATATTTGTGACCTAAGGTCGGGTCAGTTTTGCGACCTCTCCATTATAAATCAATGGGAGAAAATTGAAATGCGCCTCTTTTGGACAACGTCGTTCTAAACCGTCAAAAACATCGGTTCTTAGGTAAACATGACACAATGCCTCGGAAATTTGCACCTGTGATCCCTTTGTGTGCCCCTGAGGTTATCTCAGGTCATGAAAGGTCACCAGCAGTTTTTTTCACTATAACTTTTAATAGAGACATGCCTAGAGCGATGAAAACACGTCAGATGTGTTCAGCTCGACGATACGGGTCGACTGATATGTGCAACATGACCCTTTCCGGCTCGGTCATGACCTTGACCTGAGGTCAAATTTCATATTCATAAAAATCTCCACATCGTGGCTATTCCTATTTTAAAGTCAGGACAATAGTTAAACACAGTGGGCATGTTCATAAAACACGAAAAATGATGGCGTACAAAAATCACTATAAATTGCTGAAATGCGAACACTGAGCCATAGACCTCGGTATACAGAGGTTATGACTGAGCACATCTTTTCCCCATGTCTCGTGATTCACCTGAGCTGCCTCCAACGAGACGCGACGAGAGGCTGCGTCCGACAGCACCTGGCGGCGCTCCCAGCCCCAGGCCACTTGGATATGGTCTGACGGCTCCGCGGACGCTGGGTCAGGCGAGGAGGGGGCGGTGCCATCATCTTAACCGCGTCGGGAGAGACCCTCGAGGTTGAGGTGGCTGCGGGAGAGTTCTGCTCCAGCACCCGCGCGGAGCTGTTTGCCCTGAGGGCGGCGCTGGAGCGGTGGGCCGCCCTGAGCCTCCTCAGCGCGGAAGCGGCCGCCCAGACCTCCACTATCGGCGCGGCGATCTGGAGGACGCTGCTGGGCAGCGCCGAGCGCCGGCAGGTGACCCTGGCACCTGCAGTGGGTCCCTGCCCACTGCGGGCTTGCAGCGAACGAGCGCGCTGACGCCTTGGTCAAGCGAGCGGCTACCCTGCCCCAGGACGCCGTGCCCTCGGACGCCCGGTCCCTAAAGGCCGCCCCACACGGAAACTCGCATACGGGTTGCGAGTTTTTGGTTTTTGGGGTTTCTTCAAAATCAAATAATACAATCTAAGCTGAGTGAACCACACTGATCTAACCATCTAACAAGCGAGTCTGCATGTTTTCAGCTTGCGAGCACCTTGCATCGCATTCGAAAAGTTGATTTCGAGTCAACTTTCGATTTTCTTCGCAGTGAGGTCTGCGAGTTCTGCGAGGTTTGCGGGTTTTTCGTTGGAGTCGAATTTCGGTTCGTTGCACTGGTATTGCGACTATATGTAATTTTCTGAAGGTGTGCCAGCTTCACTGCATTCATGAAGTTACCATAAGGGAACGGTCTAATCACTCTGAATTAGTATTATGCCCGCAAACTCAAAACCCGCAAACTCGCAACCCGCATGCGAGGTCCAGTGTGGGGCGGCCTTAACACGGACAGTTTATCGAACTTCCACACGTCAGTGGCGCGAAAACTGGCGCGACTCCCGTTTTAAGACCATCTACGGGAGCACACTGCCGCTCCCCATCCCCGGAAGGACCGAGAGGCCGCCATCTCGCCTCTCGGGGCACCAGTTGAGGGCGGGCCACTGCGGCCGCTCGCTCCAATACCTGCACCGGATGTGCCGCCGCCCGCCAACCCTCTGCGGCATGCCTGCAGTGCCCCGATAAGCGGTGCCCCCCCCCCCCCCATGGCGCTCTGTGCCGTGTGCCCAGTGCCGGGAAGAGGCGGATGTGCCGGAGCACGTGTTGCTCCGCTGCCCGGCCCTCGCTGGCACCCGCCTGCGGCTAACGGGCAGCGCCAGCATCCCCATCGACCCGTCGCGGCTGCGGGACGCCGACCTTGTGGCTGCTTTGGAGGCCGGCTACCTGCGCCATAGGGAGCCTCTTGGGCGGCTATGGTCCTCCAATAAGGAGGTCTCAGGGGGACAAACAACAACAGCAACATGGCCTATAGTAGGTACTTTGCCCCACTCTACCCTATAGGTACCTACCTACGGAGCATTAATTACTATGTAGAAGTTGTGCTTTTAAAAATACGGCAATGCAATAGTTTACCCTGAATACCTTAGGTAGGTACTCGTTTGGTTCTCCAGGTAATGCGAAACAGAAGCACCTATATTGACTATTTGTAGTTACATACATATCTCAGATGTGCAGCGTTTTAAGGCGACTGTCCTGCCCTCTTCCGTTGATAAAATAAACCGACAAATCTGAGGGCTGTTCACGGGCCCTGTGTGCGGTCGGACCGCACACAGCCTCGAAGCTCCGCCCACTTCGTCCCTACGTCAGCCTTCCGTCACCGCACACAGCGATCGCTGTGGCCGGTCGGGACTGGCCACAGCGGACCGTCCACCGCACGCAGCCGTGACGTCAGAGCCGCCTACCCATCCCCTACCCCCACGCCTGCTGGACGCACCGCACACAGCGCACGCAGCAGTGTGCGGTGCCCGTGAACACCCCTCTGACGCGGAAATCAGGAATGGCGCAGTCACAATCATAACAAAAATTTCGTTTGTGGGTGGTGTGGAGCGCTTGGTGGAGCGGGCGGGGATCGGCGGATCGATAAACTGTTGTGGTTGCCGTGTTGACACGAGCTCGGTTCTTCTGCAATTTTACGACTTTTTTGCGTATTTATCTTGCTCTTCATTCCTAGCGGCTTTTTGAAGTCTGAGGTCTTGTGATCAGCGAGGATGGCGGATCAGGAGCTGCGTAGGCGTCACCCCAATGAGAAGGGCGACCCCGATATTGACAGCGAGGTAAGTAGTGTTCTAAATATGATAATATTTATGTCTTTGTTGTGTGTCTGTCCATGTCCATGTGTATCCATTCTGTCCATGTCCATGGCCCTGTTTCACTGCCCGAAGCTGCGCGAGCTGCAGCGCACTGGGAGCTGAGGCATACCCCTGACGTCACTCGAATGATGTTGCATGCGATCCGTTAGCTTATGGTAAATCGCGTTTCGAACAGAGACCTTGAAGACCCTAGCATCTACCAATTGAACAGAAGTTTGAGTGTGAATACTGCTAGCGTGCGGATCGTGCTGGCGCCGCGGTGCTAGCGTTTTGCAATGATGTCATAGCATAGCGTCAGAGGGAAGTTTGTTGATATGGCCATGGAAACTCAACGAGCCGACGCGTGCAGTACACTGCAGCGCTCTGCCGTGAGACAGGGCCCATGTGTATCCATGTGTGTCAAAGTTCTTGCTGGGTGGCGTAAAATTGCAAATCATGCGCTCTTGACTCCCAACCGACAGGTTCGGAAAGTCTGAATTCTGTTGCCAGCCTTGATAGTTGCTACCTAGCACTAGCAATAGCCATGGGCATCAGCCACTTCTAAGAATGGCTGTGACAATGCCACAGTAAAGTGTGTCAGAAATGCTGGTGAGCCAAATCAGCTTTGTACCCCATAACCTAACTGGAAATTGAAATACTGTTAGTTATTCCCTGACCAATCCCATTTTGTCTCACGTCAATTTTAGGGGCAATGATGCTGTTATACAGTTGTTACCACAATGTGTTATTTGGCCCTAACCTGCTTTATGCTTGATATACACCACAATATGAGTATCTGCATTCAGTGGCGGCGCCACAAATTTTCGCCAGTGGGGGCAAGCTTGAGACTGACCCGACTGTTGTCTGATAACGCCGATCTGCAAAATCCATTAGCACCTTGTCCCTAGATGTTGTCATTCAAAATTATTTTGGTTTCAGGTTTCATTCATAGGCGTATTGAGTTTAACCATTAACCCTCGCGGGCCCGGAAGGGGGGCGTTTTTCGCCTCCCCCTGGCGAATATTTGCGATACCTCACGAACGCTTAGGGATAGAAAGACGAAACTTGCTGTACCTTATCCCCCATTAATTTGACATCTTTTGAAGCAAAAAAATTGGACCTAACCTCCTTGATAATGTCTCAGGGCCGATTTTTCTAGACTCCTGCACGGTAAACTTCGGCGTCACAGACGTGAACTTCAACCAGCTGCCAAAAATTGAGTTTTAGAGATAAAGACAAATTACGAGCACGGTTGTGTAGCATTTGACTTAGAAAAAAAAACTTAAGTGACTTTGGTGACCTGATGTCGGAGGTCAGGGCAACGACCCCGAGCTGGGGCTTTAGTTTCTTTTTTCGCAAATAACTTCAACAAAAATGGTCCTGGAGCTACGGCAGTGGTACCTTCGCATTAGTCTTGTTCGAGACGCGTCGAATGACATATATTGTTTGGAAAAGGTCAAGTTTTATGTTGACCTCATGTGACCTCGAATGACATTTGGTTGATTTTTTACACATGGAAGGTCATTTGTGATGATTTCGTAGCCGCTGATCACGATTCTGTACCTCTGGCATCCATTTTGCTGTAAGCATTCATTTAGAGCATCAGTATGGCAAAACATCTCTTAATTATTATGCCTGACTTGAATAGTGAAATAGCCTCTAGCAAGGATACTCTCTTGTGACTTCGACCTTGTAGCAGCCTTGTATCGTAAGCTAAAGCACAAATAGGGGTCCGCTAAGCTTGAAAACATATCAAAACATCTCGCAATTTAGTATACAAGATATAAGAAAAAGTGCAAAGTTTGTGGTCAATTTTGAGCATGATCGTGACCTTGAATTTGAATGTTATGCACATCATCGAAATCCACGGATTCTCTTCTTTTGTTCAACACCCCTTTTAGCCGATTTTATGCACCATGCCGTCCTCTGGAACACGTACTTTGAGACCACTACATAAATACTGGTTTTTGCCTTTGACCTTGAATTCTGACCTTGAAAACTGACCTTAGGTCAAAAAGTTTAGGTGCTTTAAAATCTTCACATATATACTTTTCGTTTGGTACCATTTTTGTTTCCGCAGCTGCCTTATTAACGGAGTTAAACAGGGGGGGGGGGGTAGGGCTACCCCGGGCTGCGGTGGTAAGGATTACCCCCGGGCCCGGCCGAAATAAAACTATAAAACTAGATTGCGAGACACAAACCTGTGAAAACGTTTGTTGTTCGTTGAGATGTAAAATGGTGTGTTCCTCAAAACTATAGTCAGTACCTATTTCTCCTTTTCCCCGTAGTGCGTATGTATATATGTGCGATTCTCTCACATACGATTGATAAAGGTACGAGAATAAGCTCCATTAGGGCGACCCACATACAATTCCAGATAACCCGGGATATACATATCTATCACATTTTGTCATACCTCTCTGAGCTCAGTCTCAGTCTAAGGGTTCCCAAAAGAGGGTGATCTCTTCTCTGGCCGACTTTTGATAAACTGCTTCTCAACCTCCTCGAGATCAAGCTCGAGGGCAGCCTTTTGGTGAATGAAAATGAGTAGGAGAATGAGTGGGAGTAGGAGATATGCGACAGACGGTCCGAGAACGAACGTTCTGCTGACGCACTTGATACGAGGACCGTCAAAAACAGGCGTACTATTATAACCACCTATAATGAATGTTGCACGGGTCTTCTGTTCCCATACATCAGCCAAATTTTGTGGGGGCAAAAACATAGTCTTGCCCCCACGGCCTCCTGTCAGTGGGGGCAGTCTGCCCCCACTGCCCCCACGGTGGCACCGCCCTTGTCTGCATTGTGTATCAGGCACCAGCCACCAGCTGAGTGCCGTGCCTCGACTCATAGTGAGATCCCTGAGATTGCCATGCTGTGCAGATTGTTGTAGTGGAATCAGGGTGTCTGAGTGCAAGTTTTGGCAAGCCCCAATCAGTAGCCACACACAATTAGATATTATGAGTGCAGACTAAAAAGTTGTTTAATTTATGTGTCCTTTAGTTAAAGGTAGTGTGCCACCTTTGAAAGATTTCCCATTTTATTTTTCCTAGGATAAGAAGCTTCTATTTTTACCTAATATCGCAAAAAAAATCAAAAATGGGCCTGGAATAGTGCCTTTTTCGCCTAAAAGTTTATCGGTTTTACGATATGTATAACAACTGTAGTGGGCTGAACTGCAAACAGGCGTCGGCAACAATCGCGAATGCGGCGCACATGTGACAATAAGCAAAGGTCATTATAGAGTTACGACGGACGGGAATGAGTTATCAGCTGTCTAATCGTAGACAACACCAAGGACAACACAATGTCGAGCCTTAAAGGTAGTGTGCCAGCTTTCTTGGACCGTATGGAGTTAATGGCCCAGATAAGGAGAACCGGATTTTTAGAACTTATCCATACCTTCAAAACTCATGGAAACGTCTTAAATTCTTCAAATTTTGAGTACCCCAGTGCGAAATTCGCCCCGACGGGTTGTCGGTCGTACCCCAACCACATTTCACACCACTATGAACAATAAATGCACACACTGAAATCGCTATTACCGATATGCTCATCCAATCAAGTTTCGATAAACCCGTTCATCATCAGCTCCTGCGGTTTCGAACACGCCTGTTAGGTGGTGCGGTAGACCACGCCCAAAGCCAGGGCCCCGGTAACGTGAGGTAGCCGAGTCAGGGCAGCGTGCGCTGACCCAAGCCGGAGCCGCGCGTCCTCCCGGTGTCATGTGATAGCCCGGGGCTGCCCGCGGGGATGCGGTAGACCGCGCCCAAAGCTGCGGCCCCGGCTTGGGTCAGCGCACGCTGCCCCGACTCGGCTACCTCACGTTACCGGGGCCCTGGCTTTGGGCGCGGCTTCTGCTCATACTTTGTGGTGCAGTGGTGGTGCGTCGGGCTGCGCGCTCTGACTTCGGCCAAGAAAAATGCGTCAGCTGATCATTGTCATTTCTGCCACTTGCGTGTGGTGAAATGGGGTCATAACTTATAAGACGGCTTTTTCATATCAATTATTTTACATAAAATCATATTTCAAACCATAAATAATGTTCGACAGCCAAATAAAAGAAACAATACCAATACGGGCTTACAGTTTAAGGCTCGACATTGTGTTGTCTACGATTAGACAGCTGATAACTCATTCCCGTACGTCGTATGGTCGTAACACTATAATGACCTTTGCTTATTGTCACAAGTGCGCCGCATTCGCGATTGTTGCCCGACGCCTGTTTGCAGGTGAGCCCACTACAGTTGTTATACATATTTAAAAACCGATAAACTTTTAGGCGAAAAAGGCACTATTCCAGGCCCATTTTTGATTTTTTTTGCAATATTAGGTAAAAACAGAAGCTTCTTATCCTAGGAAAAATAAAATGGGAAATCTTTCAAAGGTGGCACACTACCTTAAAACTGTAAGCCTGTATTGGTATTGTTTCTTTTATTTGGCTGTCGAACATTATTTATGGTTTGAAATATGATTTTATGTAAAATAATTGACATGAAAAAGCCGTCTCTTAAGTTATGACCCCATTTCACCACACGCAAGTGGCAGAAATGACAATGATCAGCTGACGCATTTTTCTTGGCCGAAGTCAGAACGCGCGGCCCGACGCACCACCACCGCACCACAAAGTATGAGCAGAAGCTGCGCCCAAAGCCAGGGCCCCGGTAACGTGAGGTAGCCGAGTCGGGGCAGCGTGCGCTGACCCAAGCCGGGGCCGCAGCTTTGGGCGCGGTCTGCCGCATCCCCGCGGGCAGCCCCGGGCTATCACATGACACCGGGAGGACGCGCGGCTCCGGCTTGGGTCAGCGCACGCTGCCCCGACTCGGCTACCTCACGTTACCGGGGCCAAGGCCATATATAGGGGGCCCTGGCTTTGGGCGCGGTCTACCGCACCACCTAACAGGCGTGATCGAAACCGCAGGAGATGATGATGAACGGGTTTATCGAAACTTGATTGGATGAGCATATCGGTAATAGCGATTTCA